CTCATGAATTGCAAGATCCGCATAGGACTCCAAATAAACCTCGTCATCTTTCTCCTGACGACGTGTGAAGCCGGGCAGGGTCATGTTTGTTGGTGGAAAGACTGCTCCGATTGGGGAGGGCTGGGAATGAGGGCCACAGGAATGCCAAAAACAACCCCCGAAGAGCCGCAAGGAACATCATCCTCAAGCCCTTTCCTACTTGCAATATCTTGGCAATATCTTGTACTGCTATGAGGACTTCACATTCTGGCTCCCGGCTCCCCCTCCAAGAAAAGAATGATCTCCTTCTCCACCTCCTTCGAAGCTTTGGTTCTTTTCTCCAACATCTGTGCAAAGGCCGCGGTGTGGCCAGAAAGGCCTCACCGGACCGGAACGAAACTCGAGATCGGAGGTGGACGGAGAAGGACTGCACAGTCTCCTTGTATCGCAAAGTGAACCCTTGAGACTGGTGGACGGAGAACTCCGATTTGCATCTACAGGTCTAAAGGCAAGGATCCCAGACTCTCCCCATCCCAGATCCTCTCACCACCCGCGCAAAAGCCTCCCAGCATGGCTTGGAACTCGGGGCTCAGGCCCGCCAGCCCAGGGTCGCTGTCATCCGGACCATCCATGGCGCGCGACGGGTCGCGGTTGGGCACGGGTGAAGCTACAGACCCACCATCTGGGTCGATCCTTCCATCGGTGTTCAGGTGCGAAGAAAAGAATAGAATCGGAGATTGTCTCGTCTCACACATCTCACGAAGCTCAAAAGATCTGGATCGTGTTGCTTCTGGTTGCATGGATTCCAGGTGGTACACGTTCTCTGGAGGTCGCCGTTAGTAAAACAAGATCGAAGAAGGCTCCGCCAAGATCAGAAAGTCGCCTTCTGGAGATTTCAAGTGCTGGGACTCCAGTTCCATGTTCTAATTCTCACCTTGAGAAGTTCACGTGATCACCTCATACATCTAGCAGTTGCCGCCGTGTCCGTGCGATGCTTGGTTTCCTTCCTTCCAGTGTCGCCACTTTGGGCCAAACGTCCTTGGTCGGCCGAACCGAGTGCCCACGGGTCCTTCGAGTCACCGGGCTCACGCCGGGCTCGACGGTAGACCCGAAGGTGGAGCGAATTGTCCACCTGTTCTATCGCTCGATCCACCAGTAAGTGGAAGACCTTGAACACTCTGATTCAGTGGGGAAACCAATCCCCAAAAGGTTTTGGAGGTTATCTTGGCTGGTCTTAGAAAAGGAGCAGTTTTTTGAAAGACGGCCTCCACATTGCTTGGCCAAGGAGTCAATATGGTGTGTCGAATTCACTACAACAGCAAGTCTGCAAGTGATGAATGGAAGAAAAAAAGACTTGGAACATCAGCTTCACCAAGAAACGTCAAAAAAACACGTTCCATCAAAGCGAGCCCCCAGCTTCACTTCTTGCCTCACCCACAAGGTGCTTCACCTCTTGTCTCCTTTTCGCGATCTCTGGGTGAAGCCGTGCGTGTGGTGAAACGTCCTCTTCCACTGCTTGAAGCGGCCAGGCCAAGCCTGGGAGTCGCGGCGTCTCGCACCCCAGGCCAACGCTGGGCCAACGTGTTCGCCCATGATGAAGCGAATGCGTTCGGAATGACCATCGTTCGCTACCCTTGTTTGCGGTAGTCTTGACCCCAACTTCGAAAAGGCCAAGATTGCCACGATTCAGGATCGGACGAAAGCTCAAGAAGATGCAGTCAATAAAGAAAATATGTTTCAAGAGCAAGTGGTCTTCTGACTCATCGACTAATCTTATGCATCTGATACAGTCTCGTTCCCCACCTCATGAACTTCTGGCTTTGGTGGCCACACAGCACCGAGCCTCACGTCAGAGTCTTTGGTTGGATGCTCAAGATATCAGACCCCAAACAAGATGGGAAAGTTAACACAAGTCATCTGATGCCATTGGACCGGCCAAAACTGGCGGAGTCGCCTTGGCGGAGAACACAGCTTGATTGTGAATGCGGACTGAACCCAATCAGCGCTGAAAAACATGGACTGTGACACGTGCAACTGCGACAGCCCTGCGACAGCGTCACACATATTGTAACTGGTGGCCAACATCAACACGACCCTTGGCCGCCTTCCTGGGCCCATGTCCGTCAGTTGATATCGTGCTTTTGGTTTTCCGATGGGCTTGGTTCACGCAAAGAGGGCCAGCAAGCAGAACAGGTCCTGTGCGCAGCCAAGAAACCAGCAGACACGAGCAAATCACCTTGGCGTGCCAGGAAAAGTCGTCACACTATCTGATCTGATTGCCACCATCCTCTTGGCGTGCCAGGAACTGAACCCAACACGAGCCCGAAGATCCACTGCTTGTCAGGCCTCACGACTTGTCGGTCCTATCGAAGTGTCTGCACAAACAGCCCATCTCAACTTAAGCCAAAGTACCAATCCAGAGACCGCACAGGTGCTCCACTCAGGGACGTATCCTGAAGGCTCGAGGAGTGTGGAAAGGGAGTGGATCTAACGAATTCAAAAAAGAAAACACCTGTTGCAAGGACAGGGAGATTGCCCCTGTGTCTCAACACCTTTCAGCCCATGTCAGGAGCCCCAAACCAGTAAAACCCCCCTCCAAATAGAGAGCTTGAATGTCAGACATTCAAAATGAGAATGGTGCGCCTATCTCGTGGATGGCTCTTCTTGGTGTTCGAGTCTGCTATGTTCAAATGCGTGACCACGCAGCGAATTGTGATCTCTCGATTTGAAACCATTTGTTGGAGCCAAAGGAGGCGTCCACGGATACGCTTCAAACGACTGACTCCCATTTTCTGAGAAAGCATCTTCACTGGGCGACTCGCTCGTGAAGCTGGGGATGTATTCTTTCGATTCTCCTGCATATTTGCCAGGTGGGGCTTGTGAAACACAGGTGGAGCTTCTCCATTGCTCTTGGCTTCTTCGCTCTGAATAACCGTGCAGTGCGGCCTTCGTATGCAACAAGTACCCCCGCAAACGATCCCATGGAACCTGAGAATTGATGCCCGGTTTCGACCATGGTCCACCAACCAAGTGGTTTTAGGGTTCCATGTGGTCCTCTGCAGGGGAGTACTCCAAGCATTTCAAACGATTTCGAGCTATTTTGTGCCTGGTGGTCTTGTCTGGTTGGGCAAACTTTTGCTTTTTGCAGCGTCCACGCCAGGGCTCAAAATGTCTTTCCTCACGTCGACGGAGCAAAGGATAAAGTCCGGGCGCCCTCCCTCCCTCCCGTCAGGCCAGGTCTCGGAAGGTGGAGAGAATGAGCTGTACTCCTATGTAAGCCACAATGAAGGCCACACCATACCTCGGATCATCGCCCAAACGCACCGCGGAGTCCGGCGACCCCGGCGAAACCCGTTTGGGAATAAAAGCGCTGGGCCGAGAGGCAGCCGAGAAGGCTGCCTGCTTTGGCCACCAGCTGAGCTGAAACGTGGGCACACGTGGGATCCACCCTGGCAGTGGCATGGATCTCCGTACGGGCATCCGTACGGTGTTGATGATCAGGACTTTGAACTGGAATTGGGGGAGGTTCTCCAGAACCGCCAAACACTCCTTGCAATTGTTGGGCAAAGTGGAGGCGGGAACGCACGTTTCGTCGGAACCGGAACCCACCAACTCGTGGATGCGTTCTTCCTCTTTCTTGATCACTTGGATATTCAATTGTATCATGCTAGATCCAATTTTGAAGGGTCAATGTGCCTGGAAGACCTGGCTCTCACCTGAAGACTCTTTGCACTGCTCCCCCATAGGAAGGGCATTCATGGACGTCAGTCGTCAGTGTGCCATAGATGAGATGCAAACAGGATGGGTAAGTGATTCCACACGAAGCCTGCACGAAACCCACAAGTGCACGAAACCGTTCAACAGCATGGTGACATGGGCGCCCCGATTCCGGAGGACCCTGGCGTTTGTATGACCCGACTCATACCACCAGAGGTGGTCTTCACTCCACGAAACCGGAAACCCATGGGATTCTTGTGACGCAAGTGGTAGTACCAAGCAGCCTCAAGGGCCCGCCAGAGGTCCTCTGGCCCAACCTCCAGTACCTCTTGGCCCAACAAAAAATTCTGAGGAGCCTCTTTTCGAGGACCCATGGTTCACCTAGTGTGCTTTCTTCTCATCGTCCAATTTACAAACCATATCAAAAAAAGCTCTATTAATTACTCCATGTGTGGAGCTCAGAGTTGGACTTCCCAAGCGTTGGGAACTCCAGTGAGGCCAAAAAGTGAACCTCCAAATCAGCTCGTCAATCGCAAGATCTGGAGATGTTCATGTTTGTGTCCTTGGTTGATCTTCAACTTCTAGAATTCTGGATTCCGAGTTCATAGTTCCTCCCCACCCTCCAAGTGCATCCCAGCGACTTCAGCACCTGAAGTAGGCAACTCTCAGGGTGGGAAGAGAAACGCTCCGGTCGACCACACCAAACGGTGACCAACACACACACCCATTGCCATGCGTGCCGCGAAACCAACTGCTTGCTGGACTCGCCGCGTTTTGTTTGAACATTCAGGACCTCATGGAACTCACCAAAAAGAGATTTTGTCTGAAAAGCAACTCTCTTCACGTTGAACTCAAGTCTTCGATTGCCGATTGAGAAAACCCAGAACCGTCCGGTCACGGGTAAAATCCGTGCGGTCACACGGTTGGCAGCGCTTCGCAGGGCGTTGAAGTTCTTCAAAAAGAGTGCTTTTCTATGGTTAGCAAGCGAAACAGCAAGACTATCTGAAACCTCATAAATATATACATATATAAAATATATATATATATAGAGAGAGAGAGGGAGAAATACAATCTGGCAGTTTGCAGAAATTTGCAGAAGAGCTTCTTGTTCAACTGAACAGGCTCTCTTGCTGCTTCTCATGTTCTCATGTTCTCATGTTCACAGCAGCATCTGAAAAGTACCAAACGCGTAGGTTGTCCCTGGGAATGTGAATAAACAATAATATAAAGTCTACCAAAAGGATCAGGAGGCCCAAAATAGATCAAAATTTGCAACTGGTGGCCAGAATCTCTGAGTATCTACTCTAAGCATTTCTCTGAAACAAAGATTGCTGCGAATTGGTGAGCTGGTGGTGCGCTGTCTTATCAAAACACGCAGCGACTGCGGGCTGCGGGAAAGAGACCTCGATCTGCTGCACGAGGTCGTGCACGATGAAGAAGGCTGCGCGCAAGGAGAAGACCGCCATCACCGTGGAGCTATAGGCGATGAACTGGTTGGGCACCTGGTAGGACTGCTAAACCGGCGAAACCTGCTCAACCAGTCGGGCCAGGCAAGCTGCTTTTTCGTTGCAGGGCGAAAAAGACGGAACCACAACAGGGGAGGGTGTGGTTTTCCACAGAAAAACCAACAACTGAACTCTCTTGGATTTGACTGGGCCAATGGGAGCTGTTAATCCTAAAGTATCCTATCGTCCTACAGAATCTCCTGTACCTGGGTCTTCTGAAACACAGACGAACCAACCGGCATTCCAACCAACCGGCCATGAGGGATAGACATCATCCTGTTGGCTCAGCGAAACATGTCCAAGCGAATAGCAAAGAGCTGCAAGAAAAGACAGATGTACTAGTGACAGGTGCTTTGGCAAAGCAAAATGGTCTCTAATCATTGGTCACTTGTTGGCTCAAGGGAAAGGGGTCTGCAACGAGTCTGCGACCAGTTTCAGGGGCGCATGCCCACTGTATACAGGTATGGGCGTGGGTATGTATGACTGCCAACACTCATTATATAATCCCTTACCTCTCAACATTGGTTGATAGTAGTTGTATCTCGATCTATCCAATCGCGTTTCTACTAAGACACTCGAACATCAATGTGAAAGCAGTGAAAAAACCAGAAGCTCCTCACCAAAAAGAACTCTTCCCCAATGTTTCCCAAAGAACAACGACCCGACCACCGCCACCCACCAACCGCCCCGACCGACACCGGCAGCACAGAACGAACCGGGGGGGGCCCACCGCGGCGATCTTGGCGCTGACGCTGTCCAGGGCAAACATCAAGTCGGTGATTTCCAGCAGCAAAATCACGAAGACTAACCTCCAGTCGGTGAGTTGCTCCGTGAAGACTAACTCAGCACATGGTTTCTTTTTTAATGGTTCTTCGTGCTGGGTGGCAGATAAAGGTGTAACTGGTGTTTTATCTGTTTCCTCTCTTTGAGACCGAGAAAGATCGGCAAGAACGAAGAGTCTTCTACGTGGCAGAAGACGTGTAGCGATTTCAGCGAGCTGTACTCGCTCGCTTGAGTGACGGTCGGACCATGGCCCCGGTGATTTGGGGCCGTTCCGAACGGAATCTGAAGACACTTCGTTCCACACCGTGCCAACCAATGGGGTGCGCTCACATGACGCGATTCGCACATACAAGTAGCTGAGAGGGCGCAAGGCAAGAAACACTCCGGAACCCAATGAAAGGCCCGGCAAATGGCCTGCACTCAAAAAGCATACTGCTCCAAAACACTGCACTGCCACCTTATAATGTAGACTCTCTATATAAATAACCCCCCCCAAAATTTAAGCCTGAAGGTATTTCTTTCAATCCTTGCTTCTTCTTCACTCTGTTTTGCAACCAAGTAACAGGGTCGCTCGATATTTCCCGTCTCGATAGACAAACAGCCTGCACCGCGCAAAGTTTGCTTCAACGAAGCTCAAAGGCAAATGTGCAAATTGCAGCAAAACAGCCAGTACGGTAGCCCACTAGCACCGGCCCAAAAGCATCCTGAGTTGTGGCAAAGCTCGTACTTCAGTGCCGGAGTCCTCTAAAACAAAACGTGACCAACACGGTGTAATATCTGGTACGCGTGAAGCAGCACCCTCTGGTACACACACCTTCGTTCAGCCTAAGGCAACTGCTGAGCTTTGCAACGTCCTTTCATCGTCCATCACTCTGAAGCTTCGTTCACCCACTCTCCCGCAGCTCCACCAAAAAGGCGGTTCAGAGGACAGGTGGCTCCACCCAGGACCGCTTCGGGTTCGGTGGCTTCGGTGGCTTCGTCCACCTCGACTGGACCCAACATCCATGCGTTCCGTCTTGCGACCGATTCCATTCCGAAGCGGCCCCGTGGCACGGCACGGAGGCGGCCCCGTGGCGAGCGCCTGCAGGTCTCAGTGTCGTAGCGCTCCTCAAGTCGACGTCCAAGGCAGGCCTGGAGGATCGACGTCCAATACAGCCACTTCTTGGGAAAAGTGGATGTAAGGATGGCGGTTTGGTTGGAATTCAACAAGGCACATGTCCGAAGGGTTTGGGGATGCGTTTTGGTCGATCTGTCCAGTTGCACAATTTAAACATCGATGGGAGACTTGGTATGCGTCAAACAGATTCACAACTCGCAGTGAAGTGACAGGCTCAGGTTGGGAAAGTAACAAATAGGTCCGTCCCATTTACACGTTCTCTCTAATAGTGCCAGTTTCTTGGGCTACTGAAGTCCTATCTTCTGGTTGGCTATCACTGTCGGAGTCGGAGATGGTTTGCTGGACGACTAGGAAAGAGGAACATGCGTGAGTCTTTGTCCCTCCTTCGCGCAGTGGAAAAAATGAACCTGTTTAAGAAAGTGAAAAGAAAACAACTTCCTCTCCACCACCAGGGGTCTTGGCAGAAAGGATTGGTTGGAATTGCACCCTGTACACAAAACCCTGTGTTCACATAGCTTGGGTGGAACCCTATCAAAACAAAAGAACCGAGCCCTCTTAGCAGCTTTGAGGAACATACTGTAACATATGCTACATTTAAAAAAATCGGCGAAGGTGGAAAGGCCATCAATTAGTCCCTTCTTTTGGATGCAAAACAAGTCGGCCTTGGTCGCTCGCACCACATAGGTATCCACGACATCACCTGAATGTTCGGCAACTGAAAAATGGGGTTTCTTGCTTCGGAACTTCTTGGTTGATGGAAATCTGAAATTTCTGGACAAGGGCCATCTGGACGGGAAATCTCTATGAAGATCGTGGTGGTGAAACTCGAACTCCAGCTCAGTTTGCTGTGTCTTTGGCCTTCGATACCCCCTGATTCCATGTCCTGCCCGGGAACCCATGTCGTTCGGAGGTACGGACTTTACACTCACTGACATGAACGGCATCCATGGACGTCAGGGTGCCATATATGAGATGCAAACAGGATGGGTTTTTCCACACAAAACCTGCACGAAACCCACAAGTACACTTCCTGATAGGAACGGATGGTGACATGGATGGCATGGCTCCAATTTCAGATGACTAAGGGTCCCCCTTTTCCGAAGATGAAAGAGGTGGTTGTCCACTTCCACGACTATTTCCGTTCATGACCTGATGCAGCTATCAGCCTTCTGGCCAAAACCCGATGGATCTCTACAGATCCCGCCCCCCCACCCTTTCTTTGTCGTTCTTCGGAAGAAAAGCGCCAGCTCGGTCTCCGGTGAAACCGGGTCGGGTTCGGCCTTCGTTCTCATCCTCGAACATGGCATGTCCACCACTCGCCATCAGCCTCAGTGGTTCGCTCCGGCCCCGAACCGATGCGACTCCGGACACTGCCGCGCTGATTGACATTTTTGTGGCGGTGTGTGGCAAAAACACACTCCAGGGGCGGTATGTGGCCAAAAAAAAGACAGTCTGCCCCAGGAGACGGGTGAAAATCTAGAATGATCCCACTGACATGGAAGGGGATGGCATGATGGCCCCTGATAAGAAAACATGTTGTGAATGCCGAAAAGGGGGTGCCATCCACTTCCATGGAACGTCAATAGGGAGTGCAGTTAGATAGTCAGATAGTCACAACCCACCCATACCACCAAATCTTCGCTGCAGTGGACTTCGCCGAAACAGATCCGTGCCATGCCCATGAATCCCGGTCGGTGCTTGCCGGATGGGACCTGAACCTCAACCCTGAAGCCCAGCCCTCTGCAGAAGGATGTGGTCTTCTCCGGGCAACACGATCCCCATGCAAATCTGGAGGATCTTTTCGTGCTTCAGGATGTCTTCCAGGACCTCAGCTCGATCAGGGCAGCTCCGCCAACGCTTCCCCCACTGCCACTGGTTGCCATTCGAAGATCCATGGTCAGTTCACGCAACAATAGCAGCAAGCCACAAAAGCGACTGCGACAATAATACCACGCAGCTACTGCTACTGTTGTGTGAGCCACCAACAAAGCACATGTATGGACATGCGCATGTTTTGCGCCATCCTCGCGTCTGAGCGGCCAGAAAGAATCCCAGCCGCATGGCAACGCATCCCACGATACCCACGAACAAGGCCTGGCACCACTTCTGCTTTGCCAAAACGAGTTCCACATGAATGGTCTGCGAACCTCTGGAGCTTCACGAGGAAGCACGAGTTGACGGTGTTCCTTCCACCACTCTTCACGAGGTGATGTAAACGACGGTTGGAGCTCCGTAGATTCGAGTAGTAGATGGATCTTTCAGCCACACTCAAGTTGGAAAACATAGCAGACTTGTCTTCCATTTCGTCTTGTTGTCACGATCCGCAAAAAAGAAAGAAAGATAGGCCCCGAAGAACTCGGAGGCCGTTGTGCCTTGCGTGTCAGGCACGCTGGCACGCGATACGTCGTCATGATCAAGCTGAAGACCACCAAGTTGTCCATGGAAAGCCTCATGCATGCAGGTCGGGATTGACAATTGAGGTCTGGGCCAAGGCTGACGGACATATGAACGGAGGAGGAGGCTCTTTTACGAGGCCGGCTCGTCACATACCAGCTAATGACCAGCTACCGGTGTTGGTGCGGACGACATGAATCAAAGCTTATGTGAAGACGAGGTCCACACAGGTAGGTCATCAAAGCTTTAATGTCCACCTACTGAGTATCTTGCAAAAAGCGTCCAGTGAGGAATGGCGAGCGTCCAGTGGAGCTTGCCCATCTGGGGCTTCTACTGAACAGACTACATCTACTCTATCAACATTGTCACAAACACTAGCTCCTCGAAGAATCATCGAAAATATAAGTATGTTCACCCCTTCCATTCAGGGGTCCTTGCGGTTCGGCAACCCAGGACTGTTACTGAGACCCCAAGCAACCCAAGTCTTTGAAAACTGGCTCCGCCCCGGGTCACTGTGAACTGCCCGGGTGCTGGTCAACTGCTGTGGTCAACGGACACACATCGGATGGGGGCCAGAAACGTACTCTCGAAATCGCCCGAAATCATCCCAAAACAAGGAAAAGAAGGACGGAAACAAACCACTATGTGTCGCAACCTAACCAAACTACCCTTACCACCTCCCTGAACGACTTCACTTGTTCTCCCTTTTTTTCTCCCCCCTCGCTCTTGCCCCGCCCCGCCCCGCCCGTTGGGTGCCGGGTGGCATCCACTCGAGGGTGAAGCCGCTGAACCAGTAGATGGCCTGGTCGGGACCGTAGAGGTACCTGGGTCTCGCGAGAGGTCAGACGGCAGCCGAAGAGGGAGGGCGCGGGGGGGCCCCTTCGGGGCCTGCCAGCCGGGTTCAGAGATGGTTTGGTTCGCAACGTCGGGGTTGCTTGGAACAAACGTGTTGAAGACTTCATCTTCTTAACTTACGTGTTGAACTGAGGGTGTCTCTTCTTGCAAAGCTAGAGTAATTATGTATGGTGTAGCCGCTCCCAGCAAAAACAACAACCACAGACCACAGCACACAAATACAATCTCAACTGAAAGGCGGCAGCAGCAGCAGCAGCAGCAAATGAGTGTCCAACGTGGCACGGCTCTGTGGCACAGCTTCTGCGGACTGGACACCACACATGGACGTTGTAGAGCATGCCGATGCTGATCCAAAAGACCTCGCCGGCGCATCGGTCGGCGAAATCGGTCGGCTCAGCGCTCCCACCATGCGCCAATGGAAAGCCAGCCTGTTTGAGTGGGAGATATCCCCTGAAAACGACATCTAAAGCATTCTAAACCCAAGGTGAAGTGGAATCCAATAAGGAGCACAGGAACAAGCTCAGCTGAAAGTGTTGCCAGTGCTCATGTCGTTTTACCTTTTGTGCCCCAGCCCCCCAGCCTCAGATGCCTGGCAAGTCAGCCAGTAGTGTCAGGAAAGGCTGTGGCTCAGAAGATCCATGTAGCCCACGTCAGGCTGAAAAAGAAGGACGAGAAGAACCTTATTATCCCAGTGGATCAGTGGATCCCACAGTACGTTACCAACCAACTAGTCCAAAAGCCACTCCACTAATCACGAAGCTGGAGCCGGAACTCAACTCCCCAAGAAAGCTGTGGCTCTTCAAGAAAACACAAACACATCATCCATCGAATCGGATCTATTTTGATGCTTTAAAAAATAAGAAGAAAAGCCACCCCAAGATCGATCTCGTGGTTCAGCCCACCCCTGCCACGCACCCTGCGACCCCCTTGCGCCCGGCCGTCAGCGCGACGTGGTTCCGGAGGTTGGAGCGCACCTTCCGAAGGACCTGGCCGCAGAGTGCAGCTGGGGGTCGTCAGGCTGACCAAGCGTGGGCTGGGCAGGTGGATTTTGAGCAAAATTTTAACTGTCTGATCCATTGTTTTGGAAGCGACACCTGGTATTTTTTTGAGCTCTCTTCGTCACAAATCCATCAGAAAGCCCTTGAGGATGCTTAACTTGTGCTTGAGGAACCATGGGTTAGGGGGGCCACCGAACTTATGTCCACGATGAAAGCGATGAAATCCGGGAGACCTTCCATCAGGTGGCTCCCAGTCGTGGATGTCAAAAACCGCTGAGAATGCAGAGATTCCGGATGTCAACCTACCCATGGTTTGTAGGGTGAGGTTTTGATCGACACCCAAAAAGCCTCAAACGGATCAAACTCATGGGAAATTCCTTCGATGAATCCCATCCCATGGACCCCTGAAGGATCGTGAAAAGAAGTCCAGCACTGGGCACCCCGCAAAGAAGTCCAGCAGAAGCAAACAGAAGACACACTGAAAGAGGACAAGCCATTCCTCAGCAAAAGGGCAAGCGATTTGCAAGAAGCAAGAGGACATGCCATCTCCACTGGTCAACAGACTGTGCCGATTAGACCAGGTTCTGAACGTGTGGATCGTCAGCATCTCAGCTGCTTACCAGCACCACTCTCGAGGCAGTGGCAACAAGGATCTTCAATTGGGAGAAGTTTGAGTATGAGCATGTGTGCTAGGACCCGAAAGATGGTGATTTATGCCTGCGAAGGCAAAGTCAGGATCAGATTTGTTGTTCCCTTTCAGGTATCGGATCCACTGTTGAATCACATCTCAGTGGAGATCCAAGACCTTGAAACTTGCCGAAGGAGAGAGAACTAGGGACCGTGTTTGAGAGTTTGCTGCGCATGAAACACCTGAGAAATGGCCCTTCTGGGTGATTGAACCAGTTGAATCAAGCCTGTCCTTGTGCACACACCTCTCAAAGAAAACCGCAGACGATCTATATAACTGGCAAATAAGCCCTTCTTGGTTTCGCAGATCTCCTGTCCTGACCACCGGTGGCACCACCTGTGGCACCCGCGCTCGCCGCAGGCCGAAGACGCCCGGCTGGCCCAGATCGAGTGGTCGATCCGGTAGTAAGCGCCTCACCGGTCGGTTGGGTTCCTGATAAAAGGGGAGGATGGGTTCCAAGCAACAGAAACACATCCGAAATGGAATATGTCTTTCTGGCATTTGTTGGCCACGCATCCGCGCCGTAAACCGAAAAGCACCGCAGCATCAATGTCAAAACGGTGTACCTGATATTAGTCACGCCTCCTCGAGAAACCAAGATCCCCATGATCACCCCAAGATAAGAAACATTAAGAAACGGAGTACAGTTTCAGGGTGATTCAAGGGAACAGCCGTTGGCATGCCCTTCACGAGGGCCCACAGTGCAAGTCTCCGGTATCTCTTGCTCCTTCTTGCTTCTTGCTCCTTCTTCAACACCTTGTCTTGGGAAACAGATTCAGCTTCAATGGAACAACTGCAGAGAGAGAGAGAGAGCGAGCGCGAGCAGCCGCAGCTGCGCCTCGATCCGGTGTCGACCAGAGTCCCTTCTGCGCCATCTCTCACAGCCTCCTGCCATTCAAAACGACCAGAACGGTCGGAAGCCAATCAGTCAACTATGAAGTGATGCATTGCAAAAAAATATCTGAAAGCGGAATGCATCAACATATGGAGTCTCCAGCTTGGGAAAAGGATTGGATAAACATGGATAAACATGGGATTAACAGGAAAAGAGTGAAATTGAACCCAAGACCCAGCAATCCCCTTCACCCCAGCCAGCTGGTGAAAGGAAGAACAAACTCATGTCGAACGAGTCTGCCTTCAACGGAAGCACCAAAGAGCTAAGATGCGAGGATCACCCCAAAGCACACTCCAACTCAATGGAATCAAAAGTACAAGCCACCGCACTGGAATGATTGGAATTCTACCCAGAAAAATGTTCGTGTATGGGCTGCACTACTACGGCTGTAGCGGGGGAATACTGGTGCGTGCCAACAGCACAAAGCCCGGGCAGGTTGCCGTGGCACACTCAGTTTAAACCAAAGAAGGGAAAGAACTGAATGACAAATGGCAGCTCCTGCATCGGAGAGAAGCCCATCTCCGCCTCAAGTACACTGGCGCAGGTCGTATGGAGAGCCAAAAGCATAGGCAGCCAGGTCTGGATGATGCAAGTGTGTGGAGCGATAGTTCAGAACATGGGTCCGGTTCATCTTCTCTGACAAGGGGGTCACCAGCGGACAAGGGGCCAACTGGACAAAGGGGACCATTCGTTCGGTGGTTCGGTCGTTCGTTCGGTCGGTCGGTCCAAGAGAATATGCATCAGCATGGCTCTTGCAACACCCTCGAAGAACTTGTCAAGTATAAATAAGCACTCGGAATGCTGCATATGTTTTTGTATTGTGTATGTGTATGTGTATATATATATATGATATATATTTTTTTTTTTTGTAGGATATATGTATCAAACGCATGCACGTGTGCTGGTCATTGACCATGATTGCTTGTGTGCCACACTATCCACTTGCATCCCACCTCACCTCCTTCACTCACGCTTCATTGAAGTCCCCAGCACACCTGCGTTTTCGACGGCTGTGACGTACCGATCCCTCCACGTCTCGAAGACCACGCGAAGCTCCAGGTCTCGCATGACTCGAGACACGAGACACCACCACGCAGGAACCGCCTCGCGTTCATTGGGAAAAAGCTCAACTTGCGAAGGTGTCCGACCGCTCCGTTCGTAGCGATGCCCGAAAATGCTCCGTTCGTACCGTCCTCGACCCGGCAGGGACCCACAGACTCTTCGGTCCCTCCCTGAAACCGTGGGATGGCGGCGTCCCGCGAAGGGCGGAAAAACGCAGGAAACGTGGTTCAATGGGGTGCCGGTCCTCCGCTGGCAGGGGGTCGTTTGATCTGGTAAGAAATCAGGCAGATTTCACCCAATTCCCAAAAGCGATCTGATCCGCATGTGGAGGAAGCACTGAATCTCCAAGCAATCTATTTCAATTCTCTCATTCTCTCTGTCTCCTGTCGTCTTCGAAGCCCGCGCAGCGCGTGCCTCTGCTTCTGGACCAGGTCAACGCCCAATTCCCGGTGCAGAAGAGGTGTTTATGGATGACTGCACTTGTGACACTTGTGTTTCACCTCTTTTCATTGCTAAGGATACAAAATATGCGTAAGCCGTGTGGCCCAAAACGCCAAACCAAGAAAGGGCCAGGGCCAGCATGTCTTTTCGGATTCTCAGATCCACGTGGACAAACGAAAATGCTGAAGATAAAAAGGCACCGGCCTCAACCTACATCTCAGGTGATGATACAAAAGACCTATATAAAGACTGATGGCAAACAACGGCTGCACTGGAGCCAACGGCATCATAGCTTCTTTGGGAGAACGTGTGGATGAAAGGCTGCGCTCACTTTCATCCATCCGATTTTTCCTCCCTCCCCAGACCTCCACCTGCCATACCTCCACACATGTCATGCATATAGCTATATATATATATATAGTAGAGTTCCATGACAATGACCTTGGACACATATGTTACGTATCTCGCTTTGTAGAAACTCCCTTTTTCAATCTTTTTCAGACCTCCAAAGTAGCCGGAACCAATAACGATTCACCCGAAGCTTACCCTCTGCCAGGGTAGCATGAACAAGTTAGCTCCTGGACATAAGCTGGCTTCACAAATCCCAATTGATCTGGATTTGAGGATTGATTGATCCCAGTTGAGTGCCCCCCATGGCGCTCAGCATCACCCCTTTTTTGGGCGAACCCTTGGCGAATCGGCAGCCATGCAGCTCAGGTCCCAAATGGGACAAACCTGCTTCATGCAGTTCTGCACCAGTTTTGGGTCTTTGAGTCTAAACAAATCCTTCTGCCAATTCAGGTCCCGGTCAAGTTGCTGCCGCAGATTCGGAGGGGTCCCCTTGAGGGACCATTTTCTTGCGAGCTTTGGGCTTGTGCTGGCAGGCTGAGCAATGCTCACCTCAACCGTCAATGATTCTATTCTTAAGAAAAAAGACTACTTATTGGGAGACCTGACCAAACTTCGTTCTAAGGATTGGAAATTAGGTGTTCCAAGTGTATTGCACAAAGCTCTCAATGGAATGACCTGGCTTCCCACCCTCTCGCTCAAACAGCGAGAGGGTCGGGTTGCAGGGAGTGTCGGGCACTCTGCCAGCACCATGCCACGAGGCTGGTCAGCTTATCTGAGACGTCATCTACTAGATAAGTAGCTGAAGCAAGTCTCAATGTCTCAACATGCAACTCAGCAAGTCTCAGCTGCAGACCGAGCGATGCATTACAAATCGCCAGCACCAGCGGTCACCAGCAGTCATCATTCTGACTGATCATCTTTTTCTTCCTTCGAAGCCTTCGAGTCCTGCAGCAGCTGGACTTTGTCGAGACAAATAGAGGGCACATCACCTTGACCGACATACACATGACATTGAGACGTGCGACCCCGAAACAAAGTGGTGTGTATGGCATGAAAAGCGGAAACAACGCGTGGCATGGCCGTCGACAGGCTTTTTTTTGGACATTCTTTGTACACCGCATTGTGGCATATACTTTCTTACCCAGTAAACCCACAAACACACAAAAAAGAGTGGCCGTCATGCTCATTCTTCAGAATTGAGCGCCTGCAGGAATTCCTCTGCCAACACGAATCGACGCTTCGTTCTCTTCCTGTCCATCCTGGCCACCCTTGGCGCTTCTCCGGCTCCTTAGGTCCTTGGCCCGTCGCCACCCACGGCGCGGTCTCGGCTCCGCGTCCTTCTCCGACTGAAGAGTCTCCAAATGTTCAATCGCCGCGCTCACACGACTCTTGGAGTTCCGACTCCTCTGCCGACCTCAGAAGGGGGCTTCACGCGAAGGATAGGGCGGCGACATGCGTGGTTCGGAAGGCAACAAGCGAGCATTGAAGAAATAGAATTCACATCTTAGTCTCCGCCGCATGGGACCGCAAAGCGGGAGGAACGCATGGACCCAGTGTCCAGTGTCCCGTGTCCGGTCTGAAAAGCACAGGCCGCACCGACGCAGCGACCCCACTGAGATGCCGCACGGACATATTCTTGGGGAAAGAGATGCTTCAGGAATTCCTTGTGCTCCACGAAGCCATTCCTCGACCCGGCAGGGGTTGCTTCGTTCTTTTGCCGCCTAAAAGGACTCACGCTGCTTCGTTCTCTCGATGTCGCCCAAAAGCACTCCAACGGCTCCTGAAAACCCAAACGAACCGAACAAATCCCGCATATCACATTCTTGTAGTACGATTGAAAACCACTTGCCCTTGACTTGATGTGAACTGTTGATCAATAACTCGGGCCAGAGATTTGTGAAACCTCACATCTCCATATTTAATATGGGGACGTATTCATCAATGGTCCACATGGAAGCTCTGACTACTTGTGAACTCCAGTCGGTTTCGAAAGAGCTGACCTGTCTGGCCCGACCACACACTTGACTGGCCAAGCATCTGATCAATATCGAAAATCCCAAAAAGTAGAGCCGCTTGCTCCCGTGAAATACCAATCCTCCCAGACAGTATGCTTACAGTGCACAGCAAAGCGTCAAAGAAACTGGATGAGAAGACACGCAAACCACGTGATCCTGGCTAGATCGGCGTCACCAATTCACCCAAAACAAAAACGGACTACAAGGACGGACATCTATACACGGACTACAAATGACTACAGTACATCACCCGGAACTCTGCCGGTCAAGCTGGTTCCGCGTTAGTTCTCCCGTCACCGACCCAGCGACCTCATCTGGTTGATGAGCTCTACAAACTCATCAAATGCCAGCTCACCATCTCCATTCACATCGACGTAATCAATGAGAACTCGCAGCTCCTCCAATCTCCACGCGATCCGGCCACGGATCCGGCCGCGGTAGAAAAAGATTTTGCAGTGAATCAGGAAGAACAATTAAGAATCCAAAAGCAAATGGGTTTCTATCATTTAAAATGGTTGGTCTTTGCCTTTCAGAAAGGCGAACAAATGAGCCGAACTGGTCTCGATCAGGTGGACTCTCAAAGTCCTTGCTCGATATCGGGGTTGCGGGGGCGGTTTTGAGGTCTGCCCGTTTGAGCTCCAGGCAAGGAGAAAAAGGGGTGCCCTCGAAGGCTAAGGCTAAGGCTTTGCTTCGCATAGAAAGGCCTGGTATTTTGCGAAGTGTTGGGCAAGAAGTGTTTGACCTTGTTATATGGCGCAGAGCGGGGCTCGCTTTTCTCCGCTCGGTTGGTCCGATCGGAGCCCAGGCAAGACTTATCGGACTTATCGCAGCTCAAACCTTGTTCTGAATGGGCGGATATGCTTGCCTGGTATGGCTCTGCCTTTGGGGGACTCTGCCCAGTTCGGTGGCCAAGCTGCAGCGAACAAGAAAAATATGACCTTGGCCGACTACACCTGATCCAAATTTTACCTGTGGGTGGCCCAGAAAGGCGTCCTTCCTGGCTTAAGATCTACCCGCGGGCGCAAGAAAAGTGCCTGAGCTTGTGCTGCCTGGTCCTAACGTGCAACAATAGGAAGTTCCGCTTTGGAATCCAATTCAGGGAGGACGGAAACCACGGTCAAGGCGAGCCAGCAGGGCAAGGATTATGGGGAGGGATTTTGGGGCGGTGGGAAGAAGAAGGAACACCAAAGCTGCTTTTGATGTGAACTAAGATGTGTCTTGATACGAAACCATTTTTCGGCTGATATGTATCCTAGCGTGTAGTCGGAGCACAGCATTCAAGACCAGTTCCCAGTTCACTCAGCCATGAAATCTGGTACGCTGTATGCTACAGCACGCGGCATGAACAAAACGATCGAGACACTGATGGACCTTCGTTTCATGCCTCAACTGGCCCCTCTGACATCTCCCACGATGGTTCGCGGTCAAGAATCATCCAACCGACATTGGTCGAGAATCTCCCCCTGGTGTGGAGAAAGAACGAAACAAAGGGATTGGATGGCCGATGGGCCCTGCCTTAGGCCACCCCCTCTACCACCCACCCCACCTACCAATCAATGTCACAAGGTATGACCCATGATGGCCGCACACAAGAAAAAGAAGACGATCAGCTCGTCCACTTCATCAGCTTTTCATCCCCTGCTCCATTCCTGGCTCATGATCTTCTATGACATGAGTCTCTTCTCCATGAAAATTCAGGCCTCCGCGCCATAGCCGTACTTGTTCAGCGACTTGCGAAAGCGCGTCATGAGGAGCACCTGTCGTCGGTGATTTGTTGTGGGTTACCTGCTGTCTTTGGAGAGTTCTTTGTCCAACAACTGTGAGAAATGATGTCCAAGCATTCAAGTCCAACCTACTTTAACTCCACTGTAAAAAATAATAGTGGAAACTCACCCAGTCAGGAGAGACGTCCCCCACGAAACTGGACAACCCCTTCTTTTGCGCCCAACGTCAGTTTCTAACCCCAACCATGTTTTGGTACCAAGACCTAACAAAACCCACTGGAAAATCACCCCAAAGATACCCCTCCCCAACACAAAAGTCAGAAGCCCCACTTCACGCCCCAAGACCGCAGCCAAAAACCCGCTGCAAAACGTGGCGAAACGGCCAAAGAGGTCGATTTCAAAAGGACCTGGGTCCGGCTTTGCCAGGACATGGTGAACTCGTGGCCAATGATCCCCACAGGCAGCGCCAGGAATAGAACGCTCACAAAGGTTAGCACGGAGACGGTGAGATAGCCTGGGGGGAGTTCGGACACAAGAATTATCACCAGAAAAGAGGTGAACGTCTGACATCTGCTTGACAGGTGCAAAAGGAACAAAGGTGACCAGCGTGAGGTGTTTTCCTGCGGGAAAAAACGGAATCTTCTGAAGAAATTTGACAAATAGTTATCTATGCAAATCTATGCAAATGTTGATTTCCAACATCGAAAGGCGACGCAGCTTCAATTGGCAAATACTGGGAGATATCAAAACTACCCCTTCAACATGCAAACCCTTGCTCTTGCTCTGCAATCGGCCTGCGAGAGATGTGGGATAATAATCGCCGTAGCCCACAGTAGTCATCGTCACCAGAGCCAACCAGAGACTGTGAGGCATGCTGGGGATATTTTTCCGGTCCTTCGCAACAAACACAAAAACAGCTGCGAATTTGCACGCTCTCATGAAATGCCCTGCCCAAACCGAGGGAACTGTTGTCGTTGCACCACATGTTCCACATGCTCCACGTGCCTGGCTTACTAAACATGCCCCTAATTCGGTCCAGAAGAGGGCGGGTGGGGTCTTTGGAAAAGTGCTCCGAAATAGCAGCATGCGTCGTGAAACCAACGGTTCTCGGTTCTCGTACACAAAGCAACTGTAGCCTCGCTCTGCTTCGGCAACGCGAACGAATTTGTGTGCACCACGGACGTCCCACGTCCACGCCGTCCATTCAGAATCCGCTTGGCGAGGCATCAGCAACTGCAACATATCCCGGTCTACCGCAATGGTGCTCAACGCTTCGTCCAGCGAAGCTCCAGAATAACAAAAGCCAAATACTTCTCGCAGTGCCAGCTGGTCGGCCTCCTCTGCCTGGGAGGCGGTGAGAAAACACTGATGCTCACTGCAGTCCTTAGTATAGTACTCGAAGAAGCGAGGATTGTAAAGCGCCCAAGAACCCAGGGGACATGCACCAGTCATGGCATAGGCATTGTACTTGGCACGGGGCCACTGATAGCTCCTTGTCATACTGATCACACTGTTCCTCATAGAAGCCTGCCCCGCACACCAGAGCTTCCATGAAAGCCTCATGGGGATCCGTCTTCCGACGGCCCTTCATAGCCGTCACAGTCTTTGGTTTGCTGGTGAGCCTTGACTCCCTGTAAGAGCGAAATGGAAGGCAATGTGGCCATGGTCACTGAAGTTCCCGTATGGTGGCTTTGCCCTGCCCCACCAGTGCAAATGCTGCTCCCCATGGCAGGAGGGTCAGTAGCTCGTTTGGAAGCCTGTCCACGCAAGGAACCGCTATCCCAGCACAGTGAGGAGAACTGCACTCGCTGAGCATCGCTCCAGCACAGCCCCGCCCAACCATCAGCAAGATGTAACCCAGAATCCAAAAAGTCATGTTCTCCGCAAGTCGTCGAGGCCGCCTCCAGTTGAGCCACAACGGAAAGTGGCAGGGGCACAGCCTCCTTTGCCCCACCTGCCCATATTAACTCAAGCCTCCACAGCCGGAGAATTCAGGAAGGCGCATAACATTGATAACCCAAGCTTGTGGCTGGCAAACTTAGGGCGCCAGTGACAGCCTTTGCTTTGCCGATCCGAGCCCGGCTCCTATCCATAAGGGACCCTGCAGCCAGAGCCCGCGCAAAGTCAGTGACCACTGGACAGGGAGCTCATCCCGGAGACTTTCAGCCACATCACCCACGGTAAGGCTAGAGCTTCCCGCCGCAGGAATCAAATCATGGAGCCCCCTCAGTATCCAAGTGGAAGGGGTTGACAAACCTCATTCTGTGGTATGTAGGACGGGGCTCTTCGCATTCATCATTGAGACAAAAACGCGAAGGCCGCACCGTCCTTTTCATTACAACAAGAAGAACAAGGAATGCAAACACAAGAAGTTTTGCAAAAGCAGCTATGCCACCTGTTCAGCTGCCAAATCAAAAGCTTCCTTCAAGCTGCAAAGACATATACTGATTAAACAACAAGGGAGCAAGGAAGGAGGAGGGTTAGTGCCCTGCTGCACTTGGGCAGCAGGCCAGAGCTACTGGGACTGTGATCAACCCCCCACTCACACACCTCTTCAACCCTGTTGGATCGCCAGGTTCGTGCTGAACCGTGATCTCCCGCGCCCGTGATCGGAAGCGGACGGCGAGACACGCTTCAAACGGCTCCTCGACCATATAAATGGCCGTTGCCGAGAGCAGCACGATGAGTGCAGTCATGTAAATCCTGGACTGAATCGAAGGAATAGGAAAGAAGGCATTGCCATTGCAATTGCTTATCACTTAAGAAAGGTCACAGTCCAGAATTGGAAGATTATTTTCCTGTAAGAACAGTTGGCAAAAAGTCTAACAGATTGATGAATCTCACGACCTAAGCAAGACCCGACTCTGAACTGGCCAGCTCTCATGATTGATGAATAAAGAAAATGTACTACCAGTACGATATGAGTGATATGACCTTTCATGCAACTCATGTCGTTTTCGTACCATGTACCTCGCTTTTAACCCAACAGGAAGTCACGTAGAAGGGTATATAAGGATATATAAAGGATGTCCTCCCTCTATCTGTCCGTAAAGTCCTGAAGCAAACTGAAAAGGGAAAAAGACATCCGGTCCCATCCTTGAATGGAAATACAATGCTTCTTTTCCTCACAAACAAAAGGCGTTGACTTCCACGTGCCGAGCGTCAGCACCGGGAGGGCCTCTGCGCTCTTCCCACAGGCATCAATGAGAAGCCTGGGGGGGCAAGAGGGTAAGGATGACCCGTTTGGACCAGAAAAGTAGATACTGGGGACGAAAAAAGGAATGCAGAAAGTCCTGAACATGTACAAAATCTTCACTTCGAATAGCGACCTAGTGTTAGAGTTGTGAACATATCTGGCCTGAAACTGGGAGGAATCTGCATGCTTTCGTGGGCGACGGCTTTGACGGGGCATGGGCACGTTTCGCGCTGGGACATTGAACCTATCTGGGACTCACTGTATTCTCTAAAAAAAAGAAAATGGGTGAGATGGTGAGCAAAAGGTCGCTGAATTCGGAGCAAACAGGACAAACACCCAAGAACACTGCAGAATGCGCGGAATGGTCTTTCTTGGCTCGCCAGTCGGAAGGATGATTTTGGGGGGCCATTTCAAAGGGCGGTGGTTGATCAGAACCAGAGGAAAAGATCTGAATGCCCGTCCACAGACAGCTCAAAGTCTGACACCGACGGCCCAAACAGACGACCTCCCGAAACAGGTAGCAACAGCTTCACCAAAACGGACGAGGTGCCCCGAAGAACAACGAAGAAAGCCGAGTCAGGCTCCGAATTCGGGCGCGGACGTCCACCCAGCCTGAAGGATTCAAAGTATCTCAAGAGCTTCAAGAAGCGCACCTTGCGCCCGGGGTTTGTCCCCCCAAAAAAATACCGCCCCAATGGCAAAAATCATGGATGGACCCACCCAACAGGTATGCGTCGCCGTGTTTCACAGGTGCCAAGTTGCAATCCAAAAGATGAACAAGGTCGACTCCGCAGAAGTTGGTCCGGTTCATTGCTTTGGGGCATTCTTGTTGACTTTCGTGAATCCCAGGGTCTTCTCAATCCTGCTGGACTTCCGAGTTCATTACATAGCACGTAGGCATGGCTTCGAAGATGTGCTAGCCAGAACTAGCTTGGACGAAGTCCCATAGAGTTGGGAAGGAAGGAGAGATCAAGACTTGCAGCAACCCTGATGTGGACAGGTCTTCGTTCGAAGTCCGTGTGTTGATGGCGGGAAGCCAAAGCAACTCCAGAGCTTTAAAAAGTAGTCAAGCTAGAGCGAGCAAGCGCAGGCAGAGCTGGAAACTGACAAGTGAGCTTTGGGACAAGACATGAGGCCATGATGATGAGGCCATGTCCGCCACAAAAAGCGGGGGACATTACATACATCATTGAAAGCAAATTGGTCTCCTATCTCCAGCAAAAACAAATTGAAGAGAACCCCAACCAGCTCAAGCATATCTTTGATCAAGACACCAAAGGCAAAAAGAATAGAAGGTAATGCTGCACCAGATCTTCAGCCAGAGTCGCCGGACTCTGGGAAATCACCTCACGTCACGTCACGAAAAGCCAAAAAAAAAACGGCGCAACACAGCGCCAGGTGCGACCCAATGGTCGCACCTGGCAGCACCTGCCGTTCGTGGAAGCGATGCAATGACCTATCATTTCGCCCATGTTCGAAAGGCGCCAAGATGTTGGAAAAACCCAGTGCGCAATCTTGGGACGAACCTGACTGTCAGGTCAGAACGATGGAGTCGAACAAAAGCTGGAGAAATGGAGTTGAACACAATGAGGTCCTTTATGGGGAATAAAGATGCATAAAGTAGGAGCATCAACTGGCCCAAGATGGTTGAAGATCACTCCGGAAAACCAGATTCAAACAGCTGCCCTGAAGTGACGGTGATGAAAGTTAGTCAAACAGTCAAACATCTTCCACGCGATTTGTTCTCTTTGCATGTTCCACACCCCATGTCTCCCAAGGAAAAGAAGGATTGAAGCCAACAAAAGACGAACATGCACCTGCACAGGACCTACTTCTACCCCACACAACTAGCACAACTTCCGGATGTCAAACTGTCTCGGCTCGGTGGCAAATCCAATGGATGCCCTGAGCGGAAGCCCCATGGCTGACCACATGTCTGCCCAGTTCAACGGATCCAAAGCATAACTCCTTGCGGGCCGATGGGGCCGATGGGTACTGACCAGACAATGACAGAAATTCGGCCTGGATCCCAGATAGCAACTATATAACTCGATATTCTGAAAACAGAAAATAACATATCAGCGTTGCCGGGTATTGAGAAAAAGGGCCTGTCCTCTTCAAGGGTGCAGATAGGATTCGGCACAAGAATTCCACCTCGGAGGGTCCACCGGCCGCAGCGAAGCGAAGCGTTCAAGCCATGCCCTTGGCCTGTCAGACCTGTCAGCTCCTGTAGCGAAGCCCTCCATCTAAGGGATGGGTGAAGGAAAAAAAACAAAAATCCGTAGGTGTCGGCCCGTGACCCCATAGATGTCGACCCCCATGTCGACCCCAAAACCATGCCGCGAACCTCACTTCACAATCCGAGGGCACCCCACCGGGCGTCAAGGGGCTTCGGGCCAGGCTTCGTTTCTGGGTTCAAGGGCCCACCATGGCCCTAGTCTTTGAGGTAGGAAGCATTTGGCGCGTGCCCCTGGTGAATCAAAAGCACACACGGTGGCTTGCCTCTCTCACAGCAGGGAACCGCCTGTGCAGGTGCTGCCAAAATCACCAGGGAGCACAAATACCTCGCTCCGTTCTGACCGAAGGGTTTCATAGGCTTCTACCTCCCTCAGAGAGCCTCGGCTTCTGCAAAACAGCTTTGGTCCGATGTGAGGGGCCCACCTTCTCCAGACCACGGGGGTGAACCACCCGTCACGCGTCACGGCCGCCACACGGACGTCGTTTTTGTGTTCGCCCGGCCGTTTACGGCGAAAGAAGCAATCATCCAAGGCACCAAGAAAATGCAGTCCAGAGCGGTTTCAGCTGCAGCAGCAAAAGCCGTGTCTAGGATTGGCTCTTCAGTGGTTTGCAGATTCGAGAAGAGCAAGGAGAGAATCACAATGCCTGGTCAGGAAAGCGGAATCTGTCCAACAGGTCAGAGATGACAAGAGCCCCAACCACTTGACTGGTCATGCTTCGACCATCGACTGGCTTTGAACCATCGACTGGTCTTGGACCCATTTAGTGGATGTCTCCAGGTGTACCCATCGACTGGTCTCCTTTTCCAACTCTTGAAAGTGTTAGATCACCCCTCTCAATGTGAGCTATGGCCAGTGACCTGGTGCACCTTCATCCCTGCGCTTCGGGTAGGGGAGAACCTTCATCTTGTATCACCACTGATGGGTTGAAAAGTGTTCAAGCCCGTTCCCAAGGCCCCCAAAAGAGAATAAAGTACACAGTTCAGTAGATTCACCCCGCAGGTCAGTCGAAAGACACATCGAACAGGTGCGAAAGACACACCGAAAGACACACATCGGGGAGCGGCGTGTTGGGCGGGAGAGCGTTGGTCGGATCAAAGTCATACGGGAGAGCGTTGCTCGAAAATGTTTCAAGCTCCAAAAAACGAAGTCTTAAGAAGCTTTTGTAACCACCACCGCCAAAAATTGGAAGCCACTACTTTGGTCGCCAAACCACGCAGCGTTCGACCAGCATGCGCATGAAGCTTCCGTGCTTATATAGTCTAGCTTAAGAGATACTGAATGTGATCATCGGATATGAAGAGATTCATTCTACAGCTCTGAAGCAAAGGCCTCTGACATGTCCCCAACAGTACTCTGAGCACAATCGCCTTTGAGGACTTGAGACACCCACCAGGCCGTCCGACTCGAGGACGGATCATCCAGCAATTCCTCCGGCGCTGCGCGTGGAAACGGGAGTCACCCGAGCTGAGGCGAAAGGCATGGACGAAGGTGGGAGATCGTGAAAAAGGCCACGCACAAAGGCGAAAGGAAAACTGTGAAGGAGGCTGAATCAACTGTGATCGGGTCAGTTGCTTTTTGCTTGTCCAGACCGGAGACCGTGCCGAGCTTTGGAAAAGCTGTGCGTCTCTTTGACGTGATACAATTGGGGTCTTGGAGGCTGTTTTGATCAGGTTCACAGATGAACAGAGGGCAATCAGGAACATGGTCCAGTGCTTTTGTCAAGACTAAAGCTACCCATTTCTTGCTACAGTAAGAAGCTGCCGATTGGGCTGACTGCATATTTCTAGTCTGCGCGAGATGTTAGAGAAGAACGCCTTGAAGGGAGGAAGCTCTTCGAAGCAAGTTGATCCCTTCCTACATTTTCTGTGGTCCAAGGTCTTTTTAGTCAACCACAAGGGGCACAATCAAATAAAGCCCCCGGACCATTAAAAGAACCATATGTACCCCACCCAAACTGCAGCGGAACCCTGGCCATCCCTGGCCCCATTTCTTCGGCACGGCGGCAACATATCAGTCCAAAGATCCCACAACATATCGAGGCGGCTGCGCTCCACCAAGCGCAGCAGAGGCTTCAAGGCCACTGGCTCCTGCGATCATCTCCAACGATCTCCCAAGAAAAGAATCCCAACAGCATCCGATCCACACGACCCATGCTCACAAATCGGGTGGAATGCGTCCACCAACGCAACACTGGAAAAAGGTGCGCGGAACTTTGCGTTACGAAAAAGCAACAGAGATTTCTGAGGTGTCTCAGGTTCTCTGGCACTTTGGGATGATTTTTGGGTGGAAAGGCTACGCTTCACCACCATGTAACGGGATGGGTATTATCTTCCCTCTACCACCGGTCTCACCGGACTTGGTGGGTCGGACGGTCGATCTGGGATGCCCCAATTCGAAGACGGCCCCAGTCGGAAGTTCGGGTCATCCCCACAAAACATGTATTGGAAACCATGTAATCCTATCTATTTGGGGGCCATCCCATACAAGGCATCTCATCTCCGTCACTCAAGCCAACCATAAGCTTGGTGTGCGTGTGTGTGGGGGGGAGTTCTTCCATGCAAGGACTCACTTCTCCTTTCTTAAACCCCAACAGCATCTGATCATGAAACCCACGAACGGTTCGCTCGCATCTCCATCCTCCTCATCCTCTCGGTTGTTCTTGGCGTGCAATCGCCATGCAATCTCCAAGTCCATCGACCGAGGCACAGCTTGGCTCTTGAAACGCTCGCGAGCTCCTGACGCTCCCGTCGATCCAGCCCTTGGGGGTTCAACCCGGACTCATGAGCCCGTCAGGTCAACTTGGTGCGTGTCTTAGGTGTCCTTTCCAGCCAGAAAGGGTGTTAAAACGGTGACCAAGACGATGTCTGTTCACAGACCATGCCAAGGTCTGTGTCCGACCCCAGCCCTTCTCCTCTGTGATTGGTTGCTAAGGTCGGTCGGCTCTGTAGGACATGCTGTTCCACAACCGTCGTTTCACTTCCTGAGCGATGCATGACAAATCCACAAGGTGCTAAAATGTGAACAACACGACTCATTTCAACGGATTCTTGCGAGGCTTGGCTACAATCCGCAGGGGTGAACCATGAACCTCCAAACTGACCACAGGAAAATTCACCTCCAAGCCCCCCTGCATGCCCAATCCTAGTTTCGTGGATGATTCGTGACCAAAGCACAAGTCAACCTCTTGGGAATCTTTGGTTTCTTCATCTCCAAGGCGCCATCCGTCTTCTGCGAGAACCGTGCAGACCGTTTGGAACTTCGCTGGCTCGGTGGGTCCGCCACTCTCAGCTGCCCCCGCGACGGCGTCGTGGACGGGCGCGCGCGAAGGGGTGGCATGACGCCGCTCCAGGAGCGCGGATGCAAGTCTCCAACCGGTTTCAAGGCAACGACCTGAAACACGGGACTCCATGGGACATGATCTCTGGTGTTCTTTAGTTTCTTGGAGCGAAACCCGCTTCAGGACCAAGAAGGACAAGAAAACGGAAGTGGCACACGCGGTTCCGTGCGCTCAAGGTGTCAAAGGAGGGGAGCAAGAAGAAACACGCTGAAGAGTTTCGATGGGCCCGAACCACGTAACGAAGGATGAACGGGATGTTTATCCTTGAGCTCTTTCCTGTCCACAAATCAAAATTTGATATGTTTCCCAAGCCTTCAGCCCCCAGCAAAAAAACACTCGTCACCCCAAAGTATGTCGCCGGGAAAAACTGCCTGATTTCAAGTCGACCCCAAAACGAAAAACCCGAAAACGAACGCCTCCAAACAAGCGATTGCCCACACAAGAATACCCAACAGCTGGGCATGGGCTCGCCTATTTGGTGGCAACATGGCAAATTCACTAACAGTTCTGTCTTTGTTAAACAATGCTGCTTTGAAACATGCGGCTCTTTTCAATGCGGCATGCAAGCATCACCACATCGCGATTTGTGTGCTCACATACGCGCAAGCATGACAGCGCTGCACGGAACCTTCTCCCGAACCCGGTCTCCAGACTGTCAGCTTGTCAGCACGAGAGCGTGGCCCGACGTCAGCATTCCAACGTGACAAGTGTCAGCATGTTAGCATGACCTGATATGACCTGTGTCAGTGTGCCAGCATGACAACATGTGAGCAACATAGCCCGAGAACACCTCGGTGTGACAACCAGCATCAAGATCATGTGTGTCAACGCGCCATCAATGTCAACATATTGGCGTGACAATACCTCAGCACGTCAGCGTGACAACAGGCCGGGCTATGAAAAAACACATCTATGTCAAGAAAAGTTTTTCAAATCTTATCAAAAAGAAGATTAATCTATATCAAAAGAACATATTGTGGTAGGCGCAACGATTTGTGAAGCTTTGCAAATTTCGTGGTAGGGGCAGCACTTTGTGAACCTCGAAGTGCAGATTTCGTGGCAGGCGCGGCGCTGGGTGAACCTCTAAATTACAGATTGCGTGGCAGGCGCAGGAAGTGCAGGTTGCGTGGCAGGCGCAACATTTCTGTCGATCTCTTGACCCTCTGCAAGATCTCTGGGCTTCTAGACCTCTACACCTCTGGATCTGTCTGGATGTCCAGGCCTTCGGATCTTTGTAGATGTAGACCTCTCTGCTTCTCAACCGTGATCTCCTGAATCTCCAGACCTGTAGATCTCACAAAAGGTCTGCTAAGTTGGAATGGCACCTTGCTTCTCCAAACTCTACCCTCGGGTTGCTCACAAAACAAAGGCCTGCTAGGTTGGAATGGCAGCGTCTTCCCCAATTGTTTTGCCCTCGCAAGGCTAACAAATAGCATGCTACGTTCTAAATTTTACCCTCGGGTGGCTCGCCAAAGGTTTGCTACCTTGGAAGGCCACCTTCCTCATCCAAATTTTACCTTTGGGTGACTCACAAAAGGTCTGCTACGTCTGGTGATAAAAGTTTTGCTACAGTGCTTCACAGGATGTATGACCAGGAGATTTCACAATCACGCTTAACGCGTCTTGCCTCGAAAGTACAGACCCAAGGACCCGAAGACCAAGACCAGAGTACCAAGGACCAAGGGACCAGAGGACCAAGGGACCAGAGGACCAAGGGACCAGAGGACCAAGGGACCACAGGACCAAGGGACCAGTGGACCAACGGACCAGGACAAAGGGAGGAATCTTGTTTTGTATTACCCAGGATAGTACAAAGGTTAGACGCATGTGATTTGCCAGACCTTTATACTATCCTGGGCAATACAGTTGCAGACGAGACAGCAAAACTCATCAATCGACAAGCTTTCGTCAAGCAGCAGATAATATTCACATTCACAGCCAGAGACAAATGGAAGACTTGCTATGTGTATACAAATACTTGTGTACATTGAATAGTCTTCAATCAAGCCTTAGGATCGAAAAAGAAGCGGCAGAAGGTGAAGCCCTGCATGCGCAGGGCCTGGATGAAATTTCTTTGCTACAAAAGACACTTAGTAAGTGGGAGGTCCAAGGTCCTCATTGGGTTTTCGCTGATTCCTTACCAGACATTGTTGCACATGCATGTCCCGCGGGAGCGCAGATAGCGACGTGTGTATGGAAATTCTTCCAAACCCTTGTCTGGCGCGGATCAGATAATTGATAAGTTTGAGTATGGCATTACCTGGTATGAACTTGTGATTCATTTCACATTGTTCGCTGGTAAGTGCATGCCGATCTGGATTAAGGTCGCAGATCACCAACCCGCGCATCCTTTCGACTTTTTCTCCGATGAAGTTAAATTGCAAAAACCAGATGTTCGAAGTTTATCGCACCAGGCCACGAATCTTCGCTATGTGGTTCAGTACCTGGAACATACAGCCAAGATCAAATTGTATCCACGGTACAAAAAAGCGTTGCGTCAACCCTGGTACGCTTGGGATTCCATCGTAGCTTAATTGGTGGTATAGCCTCACGCCTCACCTTGCCCCAACGTGAAGCAGCGATGCAACTGTTGCGCGAATATGCCTCAACACCTGAACAACCATACCCACTTAACGTTCGACTCCCTTTCGTGCCGAATCTCTCCAACCTGATCCTGGCGGAATCCCTCCCTGTTGATCTCCCATTTCCTAAACGGCAGAACTTATACCAAAGGGTTAAGAAATGTCTCCGTACAAACAAACCTTTGGATTCAATTGAGCTTGGTTCGTAAATTCATAATTTCGATGCATACTACACTCGGCAATCCGTAGATAATTCGCTTGGTCGTGACCCTGGGAATAGGCCGATCAGACTTGCGGTTTCGTTGCACGTGATGTTACAGGGTTGTGTGTAGCTACCCCTCCAGTACCCCCCTATGGGGAAGGACTAGGAGGTGCGTTCAGACTGGAGCGCAAGTTGTGTGTGTGTTTTGATACGAATTAATGTTTTTTGACAGGAATCATGTTTTTTATTGATAAGAATCGATTCTCTTTTTGATAGGTATCCCGCAAACACAGCACATCAGCATGCCTCCGGAACTTTCATCTGCCCAAAAGTCTTCTTTTTCTCTGGCTGAAGACCCCAAAGCTCCGCTGGGCAGAAAATATATACAACAGCACATGCCTTCCCCATCCGGGTCCATGACGCGGCCCCCATCGGGCGCCTCGGCAAGGCACAGGTCCATCTGTTCGGAGAGTCGATCCAAGCGCTCTTCGATGCCCAGACCGATGGAGTCGGCCGAACCTGAGACCGGCCAGCGACAGACCGATGGAGTTCGGCAGCGAGCGACGCACGCCACACACGAAGAGGGGGTGGCCCCCGGTTGGGCCCCGCGTTGGGTGGTTTCGAACATTTCGTTTCGGAGTGCGAAAGGCGCTGCTTGATGGTTCAACTGCTGTGGGTGAAAAGCCGTTTGATGGGTCCTTTTGGGGGAGTCCTGTGTCAGGGTCCATCATCGCAGCTCCTCGCTCCCTACAATGTATAAAGCGTTATGCACGCGATTGAAAAAGGACAAAACCTCTGATCGATGTTCACCTTTGAACATCCTGGGCGGTCTTTCATCTCAGGGAGTTGCTTCTTGCACATCCAAGCTCCGCGAACAGCCCTTCACCCACTGTTGCTCAAATCTGTGGGGGGTCTCTGGGGTCTCTAAACCCATCACCTCAGGGGTCAGGCCACGCTTCTTGGAATGCTCCAACTCCACCTTGCCACGTCCCTCGGAGGTCGAGTCGATGATCACCCCCGGCAAGAACGGCATGGCGGGCGGAGAAGCCAGGCCTCCGTGCCTTGAGTGCTGTGGCCCAAGGGCAACCAAAAGGCATTAGGTCCGACCATCCATGGGTCCGATTTCTCGTTTTCCCGTGGGTCATGCAAGCGAACGGGATCGTTGGATCGACAAAGGAATGGGAGCGGCTCCATCGAACACGTCGCCGGGAAGATGAAAACGAGCTAAATATAAGATTATAAGCTTAAGACTTAAGACTCAAGACTATAATCATAGGAACAAAAGGTTTTTGTTGAGCCACTTGACTCTTCTTGTTTGGGGCAAAAAATAAGAACAACCACTGCACCTGGCCATTTCATCCGTTTGGCGGCAAAGACCTGGCCCGTGTCATACAGTCCGTCCGCCCTCTTTTTGGGTGCGCAAACCAAGCGTCCACGTCGGCGAGGGCACTGCACCAAGTCGCAGTTGAAAAACAAACAGTTCTTGCCCAGAACAGTTTCACCAAAGCTCAGCACCGTCACCTTGGGTTTCCTAAGGTCTTTTTGAGAGTGAATTCCGGTGGATTCTGATCCAGGGCGATGATCAGAGCGGCCTCCAAAAGAGAACGCACGATTTTCGTGAGGGCCGAAATGGTGGCCAGAGAGGATATCATGATATCAATCGATATCGCCACTGAAGCTGGGTCAGTCTGACTCTGACATTGTTTTCCAGATCAACCCCAGTAAACTTACGAGGTGGCCTCTGCAGGTTTTATTGAAACAGGAACATCATTGTCTCTGATTGAAACTCCTGGCTGTCAAACTCCAATACTGTGGAGTAGCTCTCAGCTCTTCTTTAAGTGGCTTGTGTGTGCGACTGGCAAGTGATGCACTCACATTCGCGGCGCAATCACAAGCGTTGTCTTTCTTCCGGTTTGCCAGCAAAATGTCGGCGACAGCCCGTAGTCTGATCCATTCCAAGCGAACAGAGCCTACACACCTTAGCAGCCTTAGCCTCTGCTTGTACGAGGAGCCTCAAGCGTGGTATCGTTCAAATGTTTCATAAAGCGGCAGACTAAGCTATAAACTTTGTGTAGATTAGCAGCCTTTGCTAGGAATCAGGCAGCTGTGGGCTATCGGTAAAACCAGGCCGCTTTCCCAAAGCCTTCTTTCGAAGCAAAGAGGAAGTTGACTTCCCTCAAACCCCCTTCATGTGTCTTCGGTCTGCTCACAGGGTCGCTTTCACTTCCCTCATCTCACGCTTCTCCAGCGGGAGCTGCAACACCACCTCCGTCGATGACTGCAACACCACCTCCGTCGGTGAGGAAGTCTCCGAGCTCTCCACCACCGCGCCATGCAAGTCGTTCTCCAGTCCCAGGCGGTCCATGCGGTCGGCATCGAAGCACTCGAGGCCAACCTGTGACGAAAACAGGTCGAGATGGTGCACCACCGGTGGAGCCCGTCGAGATGGTGCACCACCAGTCGACCGGGGTGTCTCGGTCGACCTAGTTCTTAGCCCCCAAGCTCTGCGGGACCACCTGCCCCAATCTGCCCCCCTCACCACCAGCCACTGGTCCAAACCCATCGAAGCCCATCCCACAACCCCCAGTTTCGGCAGCACCGCGAACCCCAGGCGGCCTCTGACGAGGGAAAGCTTACCTTTGAGCTTCCACTCGAGCGCAACGAATCCAGTCGTTCCAGCGCCATGCCGATGCGCCGCCTGCGCCGAAAACGTAAGGCATCGGCCAGCGGAGACGAATCGGAAGTGGAAATCCCCCAAGTGCCACTTCCCTGGGAGTCCTAAGAGTATTTCTTCAAAATGGTCCTTGGATGACCCGAGTCAAGGAATATCCTGGATCCTTCGGTCCCAGACGTCTTTGGACGTCTGAACACTTCAGGCTGGCACGAGCTCCCCTCGGAGCTCCCCCTCCGAGCCTCGATCTGCCCAGCGTCTCATCAGAGATCTGCTGCGTGTGCTTCACGTACTCATCCGGGAAAATGTTTCGAAGGAGCTCACTTCGCTCCAGAAATCCATTGCGATTGCTGTCCAACATGTGAAAGAGCTTGGCCTACAGGCGGAATCAATGTTGGTTCACAAACCCTTCGGAAAGCTGAAAGCAGAAAGCTCTTGGTTGGACTAGAGGGGGTTGTGTCCACTGATATACCAACTTGACCAACTCATTCGACCTGTTTTCCACTCTCCGGCTCTCCGATCTCGGGTGTCCCCAGATCTCGGGTGTCCCGGCCGCAGTCTCGATGTTCACGCCGATCCGCATCTGGCGAACCAACTCAATGAACTCTCCCAGAACCTCGGATGGCTCCGACTGCACGAACCTCGCCGACCAGAATCGAGAGAAGGACGGACGTGAGAGTTCTCGCGAGAGCGAAAGAAAACGTGGGGCAGTGTTCGCTTCGTCTCTTCGAGTGGGACCAAAGCAACAGTTGCGCTCCAAGACTTCAAGTCTTTTCGAAGCAAAGCCAATGGTGAGCATGCTTTCTGGCGGGACATTTGCTGATCCTACTACATATGCTTTTGAAAGCCTACTCCAGGACCGAATTTTTGGTCACGGGGCCACCCAATCCCAATCCCTTGCGTTTCGACAGCCCCCACCAATCCGCCCTGAAAAATGAAAACATTCCAAGAAACCAGATGGCCATCACCGTCCGCATCCGCATATTCCTCACTTGCGGCACAAGTTTCTTCCCGATCCCCATTGGGTGAAGACGGCGGGGTCATTCACCCGTGTCAAAACGAGTTACTTCAGCCCGGTGGACAAAACCAGACCAAAGAATGGCCATGCAGGTGCAACAGCTTGGATGCCTGGTGGCCTACTGGACTGGAGCACTATCTTCCAACAGAAATTCCTCACTTTGATCCACCCATATGACGGGACCCGCCATCGTCCCGCCTTCGTGGTGGTCGTAATGGTTCCTCATTTTTGGACTTCACCCAAAAACCCTTGGGCTGCTTGTGCTGGTTCCCTTTTTGCCAACCCCCGCCCAATCAGGGGTCGTTCGGACCAAGAAAGGCACCTATCCTAGCCTCTCCTATCCTATCCTTTCCTATCCCATCCATTCTATCCCATCGCTACCATCGCCACTAGGTTGGAGGCCATCGCGTTCGTAGGTTCGTCCTTCAAATCCGGATCCTCCGGATCCACATGCCAAGAGTCGATGAGGATTTCCACATCCGAAGCGCCGTAGCCCCACTTGGCCAAGCAGTTTCGCATACGTGTCTTGAGCAGCCTGCGCCATCTGCCGGAGACATTGGTGCAAAAGGATGCTTTTGAGGTCCGTTTCGGATTTCGTGTTAGATTTAGAGAACACTCCATATAAATCTATATAACGCAACAAGCATCAAAAGGTAGACCATCCGTGTTGGCACCAAAGGGACGAAGACCAACAAAGACGGACTATGACGGCACAACTGATTTGGTCTCGGCCCTTGGCCAGCCTTTCATGGCTGCTTTTGCCCAACAGTGGGTCCAACGACTTGAGCCAAGCCACATCTCAGTCCGTTTCTGCCAGCTCTTGTTGAACTCGTGACCGATGATACCCACCGGCAAGGCTAAGAACAAGACGCTCACAAAGGTCAAGCACGAACAAACCAAATAGCCTGGAGCTGGGGCCCGGCCACGTCAGGAAGGGTATGGAGTTGGTTTTAAAGTTCAAAACACAGCTGCCATGTGTCTGTGCTTGCCACTCCGCCTTGCACCGGAAAACAGGTGTGTTTCACCAATCTGCCGATGCTTCAGACCGGAAAACACATTGAGCATAATGCAGCGACAACCACACCCGGCACCTGAGAGGGACTTTGGATAATAGTCCCCATAGCCGACGGTGGTCATGGTGACCAGGGCCAGCCACAAGGAGTGGGGCATGCTGGGAATGGTGTCTCTCTCTTCCACCAAGTAGATACCAGTTGCAAAGAACAGCACGATGAAGGTCATGAGATAAGTCAGAACCTGGCCATGGAACTGACTTCCCAAAACAAAAAAAGAAAGCTGCTGCCGCGTTGTTCAAGACTCCCTTGGGGTGATGGAAGGACAATGAAAACGATAAACACATATATACCCTGCATCGGTCAATTGAAAAGTACAGAAGAAACCGATAGTGTTGTGGACCATATGAATGGTCCCCCTCATCACCCAACTATCTTTGTGTAAAAGCAAAGGCAAAGAATGTGGTGATGTCCCCAGCTTTACAACTTTGTGGGGCTCATCTCATTGATTAGCACCTCTTCTTGACTTTGCGTCCTTAGGACATGAAAACCAATAGACAAAAGGACATCCGTAACTGATTGAAGAATGCCTACGCCCTGGAAGATTAACATGGAACCTGAAAACCACTGGGTTGTAGAGGAAAATAGTCTTCCAAAGGTTCATTTTCAGTCTACTACTCCCCTACTGTGAAACACTCTTCAGCCTTCTCATCCGGGCTCAAAAATCAAGGTCCTTGGGGGGTCAATTCGTGTCCCAGCGACTGGCAAAGCTTCTGCTGACTTGGCAAAGGCATCCACCAAGAGCCTGAGAGGCGCGGCCCAAAGCCGGGAAGCTGCACTGCGGCTCTCTTGAGTTGTGAGTGAGCCCTGGCGCTGGGTTGCATCTTGAAACTGGAGAAGGTATGGATCAGACGATGGAATTGTGAGATTTGGGGCTCTATTCCATCCAAGCTGGACAGGCGGTTGCCTTTTGTCCATCCAAGCTATGTTTGGTGGTGTTTCTTTTCCACCGTTTTTGGTACTTGTGACATGTGGATCTGTCACGTCTACCAATTGTGAATATTTGGCATATGTGCAACCTATTCACGGCCTGATGAAAGCTGGTTTCTGTCGAACATTGATTTCACCGGATTGCACAAACCGTCACGATCCGGTGTCTAACCATCCGTGCCCCGTCGTCGCGCCGTTTCTCTCGTCGCTTCTTCGGTCCGTCCGTCCGTTCCGTCTGCCGTCGTTCGCCTGAAAGACTCGAAGTATCGCAGCAGCTTCAGAAAGCGACACAAAGGGAGGAACAGCAACCTCGCCAGCGATGTTTTTGTTCAAGGGTTGGAGCCCATGTTCTTTTTTTGGAGGCCATCACTATTAGGTCAATTATTAGGTTGGAGGCCATCATTGTTAGGTTGGAGGCCATTGCTATTAGGTTGGAGGCCATTGCTCGGGTCCGCCCGGTAGAGCAAGAGCCAATCAGGACTAGCCAGCAAAGTCTTGAGATAAGTGGTGAGGTAGGAGATGGTGTGGGTCTTTCAGGAGCTTGCAGGGTGTGGAGATTTTACTAGGTGTTTTGAGGTGGTCATATGTGGGCTTCGTTCGTATTCTCTGCCCGCAAGAATGTGTCATCTTCAGTCTTGTTTCTGCGTCCAAAAGGACCCAAAGAGTCCAACGAACTCTCTGGACGAACAGACAGATGTTCCTATGCCTCTGGAACCTTCGGTTCATTCAAGCTGACGCCCTCTATCCCAATGTAGAGAATCACCCCTCTGTGGCTTGCAAACGCCCTAAAGAGTCCCGATCCTGTCATAGCCTGTCAAAGTTTTGACCCATCATGACTGCTTCTGACACTGAACTAGACGGGATCAAAGTGGTAGGGCTCACAGAGACATGGGCTGCCACTTTCCTCTGACTTGGGGTCTATGTGCCACCCCTGCGCAACCCCTCATGCGACATCTTGTGCGCCCTTCACACCACCCAGGAACCTCGTGTGCCAGGCCCTGATCGACTTGGATATGTGTTCTTGAAAAAAATAAAAACATTGACCATTGAAACCTTTCAAAGTCTGTTGATTTTGTTGGAAACCTTGTTGAGCAAACGTGCCGACCCCTCCTTCTTCAGTGAGACAACTTGCACCAGGTCGAAGCCCCGCATCCACAGCACCCACCCCTAATGAACCCCCAAGGACTGGAGATGTAAAACCATTCTGGTAGGGGGTTATTCATTCAACCGTCGGCATTCCTACCCTTTCTACTGGACTATCTGACTATCTGGCCTGGCTTCTGACCAAAATAACAATAAAAATCACGTGAAAAAACAAAAAAAACAATGAAAAATCCGGTCTTGTCTATATTGCCACTCGTTGACACAAAAAAAAACAGGATCCAACAAGTGGCAAGAACTTGTGGATGCTCCTCTCGACATACGAGTCTGGCAGATGCTGCGCAAATCCGATGGAGGCCAAGACTGGCAGGCCAAGGGCCGAAAGCATGTCGCCCCAGTTCCTGGATTGCGAAGCACAAAATATTAAGGAGTATACGGAGGTGCTTCATCCAAGTAGGGATGGGCTTGCGGATGGAAGTGTTGGAAGACGTGAGGGCTTGATTTCCAAGAATTTGATCAGTCGCGATTCTCAATGAAGAGTCGGATGCAGGTGGCACACCGAAAGGAAGGATTTCTGCAAGAGTCTTCTTGGTATGTCTTTATTTCAGCAGTCTTAGGAGAGGCGCTTTTTTGGGAGACAGACCGTCACGTTCCATATTATATATATATATAGTCCAAGCAAAGATGTCTATTTTTCTGGAAAAAGGACAGACCGACGTCTAATCCGCCGCTGAGATGCAATGGATCACACACATAGGCTTTCCTTAGGTCGGTCGATCTTCGACGGGACAGCCTTCGAGCCCGCGACAGGGTTATTTTTCCGGGCGGGGCTTGGGGGAAGGGCGCCATGTCAGACTGTGTAAAAAATGAACCGCCAAGGACATGTCAGAGGTTGATATTCCTCAACAACCTAGAATCGGCTAGAATAGCTTAGCATAGTGTTGCTTCTTTGAGGCCCCAGTTATGGATCGAAGCTGCCACGTCACTGACTGCTACTTGGCAGCAACGTCTCCGTCCAAAAGCGTTCAAATCTGCGAATTTCAAAGGCTGCGACGATGCGAAAAGGTGAAGCAACAGCAAATGGGCCAAGAATGAGACTAGCAAGACAGGCGACTGACGAACATGTCATGTTCACTATACAACTATCAGCTCATCCTGGTCATCTTCACAAAAATAAACAAGCATAACCTTACAACAGGACCCGTCGCCAGGTGAAGCAACCGATCCGTCCAAGCATCTTCGAAGGGGCACTGAAAAAGCGACATAGGAACTCCAGGAAGAAGAGAGTGTCAAAGAAAATTTCAGCGATTTGATTGTAAACGCTGTCCAACACAGGGAGCTCACTGATCTGCAGGGTAGTGACCACCAACGAGACGACCACCTTAGTGGCTTCCAAACGACGTTGAGACGTGCGCCGTGCGCCGCTCACGTGCGCCGTGCGCCGCTGGGTCCCGTGCCAGGCACTTCAACAGGTTTGAGACGCACCACGCAGTCCAGCTGGACCTCGGCAAAAACCGTCGGGTCTGACACCTGTCGAGAGTTTAAAGCACCCAAGTCACCCAAGTGTTAGGTGAAGTGTTCATCTACATGGGACCCCGGAACGTGGAGACACACTCATGTTTGTTTAGGCAAATACAGTGCATCTTGCGAGCTGCGCAACCCATTAGAACACTAGATAGAGGAGAGGCTGCGTCTTGCTAAACTCGGCTCAAAGGGATCGCGAAGGTAAAAACCATTGGGAGTGTGTCAAAGCTGATGCGCCACTGAAAAGGGGAAGTTGAGCATCCCCTTGACACACATCTTTCCCGCAGCCCTTGCACATGTGTAGGCAAATCAGCTGCCCAAATGGATCCTGGTGGTTACTGGACGAACGTGAGGCCAGCGGGGGAAGTGAAAGCTACGGCAAAAGTGTGCCAGCCTGCAATCCTGGTCAAAAAATCTATCCTCGACTTCTATGCCCAGCTTTGGATTTGAGCTGCACTTTCCGCTGCAGTCTTTGGGATTCTCCCAACCAAAAACCTACAGGCATACTTGCCACGCGACCCTGCTTGCAAAACACGTCAATCTTCCAGCATGAATTGCTAAGCCACTCCAAGCTTACTCCAAAGTCCCTTGCTTTCATGTATTGTGGCCAACAACTAGAAAGTACATCCCTTTTCAGATGGTGCTGAAGATCAGTTCTTAAATCTAAATCTCCTTTACTCCCTGCAAGTCGATCCAACAATCTGAGGCAAGCACCGACTAGCCAGCCCAGCCCAGCCCGCGCGGCCCACCAGCCCCCACAGCCCACCGGGAAGGCTAGCCTGGGATCATCAAAGATCTCCCAAATCGTGTCCGCCCATGACCGATGCACCAAGCGAATGAAGGGCTTCATGTCTACCACTTGGTCCATCGCCTCCACCTCCTGGCGTTTGGCACGACTGACAGGCCGTGTTAAGTGAGCCGGGGGTGGATGCGGGTGGCTGGAAAGTCACTTGGAACCTCTTAGGAACGAAAAGAAAACCCAACCGTTGGGTGTCCAAGTGCCGTGGCACCCATGGCGGCACATGCCGTGGCTCCTGGCACACTTCCTTTGCGTGGAGCCTCCGTGCGAAATCCAGGTCCATCGCTCGGAGTGGTCTGCGCGAGTGGGATCGCGCTCGCCTCTCCTCTTTTTTCTCCTGACCACGAAGGTGGAGATGGAACAGGCAATGGATGTGACGCCCACTGCAACATGGAAATAGGGTCACTACGTAGACTACGTAGTGCAATGGACCACCGAATCCTGCTTGAAAAATATCGCTAGTTTGCGTGCTTAAGTCAGTGAAGTCAGTGAAGTCAGCGGTAAAAATGGTAAAGACACATATAACCATATAACGAAAACTCTTGAAGTCTCTTTACTCTCCTCTTTCTTGTGATTTGACACCCCCAGCGGTGCACCACTTGGAGAAGGGGGCCCCGTAGGCGGAGAAGGACCCACTTGCGATGGAGCCATTCCCGGTGAAGAAGGCATCGCATCCAAGTGGAGTTGAAAGGGATTGGCCGATAAACTGACTGCGGAGTTGGAGCGCATCGTGGACCGCATAGGTGAACGCGCTGCACCAGCCCGTCGGGGCGTGCCAGGCCCTTGAATGGAGAAGCGCGAAGCCCGGGAGGCACCCGGTCCCGGCGGGATGGAGGTCAGGGGGCGGCCCTTCAAGCTCATCACCTCATTCAAACAGGCATCCATCTTCTCGGAAAGACGATCAAAGCGAGCCTCCAGCTGCCCCGCCAACAAGGAGATTTCTGCGGACACATTGGGTTCTTCGATGGGTTTCGACATGGCAGCAAAGCAACTCAATCCTTGGGACGGGCATTTGTCCTTCAAATGGCAGCAACGCACCAATGGTGGTTGAACCGGGAAAAGTATAGCACAAAATCACATGTTGTTCCGTTTCCGTTGACATTGTTCTAACACCTGTTGCTTGTTCACACGTCAGCGCGCGCTTCTATGAAGTTGTGAAAAGAGGACAAAGTAGTTTTGTAGGCATCGAGTGATTCGATTGTCCAGTTTGATTGCTGTCAGCATCATTCATTGTTGGGTCAACTTGCATGTAACACAAAATTCCAAACATGTCCAAGTCTTTTTGGACTCCGAACCCAAAGGATAGAAATACTCAGACTCAACAGCTGGATTTCCAACTTTACCCCATGTCCTTAACAAACGATTTTTGGAAACATGTTTTTCGCAGAGGTTATTGACGGTCAGCAGGGCCATCCACGTCATTGTGTCATGTGTCGTCAACGTCGAGAGGGTGGATATTTTTCCCGGGAATTTTTTTCAAATTTTTTCCGGGAATTTTTTTCCATTTTTTTCCCCTACTGCTTTTGTTTTGTTTTTTTTTTGCTTTGGCTTCTGCTGAGAGTGCTTTCCAAGCACTAGGACCAGCAGAAAGGGTAGGGGACGAAGCGCCAAAGCCAGCGTGATGGAGAGAAAGGGAGGGAACAGTGGGTTTCACTGGTTTCGGGTTTCTTTAGGCTCGGTTTCTTGTCCTTAGGCGTGCTTTAGGTGTTCTTCCGGTTCCTGGGCTTTGAACAAATATATACGTACGCTACCTTCAACTATTTCATGTAGCACGAAGAGAAAGGGAGAGAGAGAGAGAGAGAAGAAAAACGAAACGAAGGAGAAGGAGCAGTGCAAAAAGTGGAAAGAAAAAGTATAATCTCTTAAGAGTTCTTCGCCTTTCCACATACAGTTTATCCTCGGCTAACACACAAAAGGTATTCCTTGTCGTCTGCACTTTATGGTGGAATATCTTGGCATATCCTTCTTCCTCTAAGCTTTAATGTTGGGAAGCCCATGACAAATGCGCTACGCTGGAACGCGCCTATTTGCAGATCGTACCCCTACACGGAAAAGGTCCTCCCCGGGGCGTGCAAAAGTTACCTCGCTTGGTGTTTAAATGGCCGCCCTTGCAAATCGCTACTGAACGACCAACACGGCCGATTTTGGAGGAGTTTTTTAAATTGAGTTCCAAAAACAACCGCAACTGCTCACCTCTGTCCACCCTGTCTATCCACCATGACACGGCGTGTTTACACCAGCAGGCTTTCCTTCCCCCAATGGCACGGATATCTACGCAAACGCACTTTCCACCAAGGTCACACAAAAACGGCATGGCGCAACGACATCACCTTTCCAAAGCTTTATATAGTTGCTAGTCTAATGAAGCATCACTATTCTAATGAAAGCTTTTGTAGGGGACAAGGAACACCCTTGCATCTGGAGTTTATTGAATTTTGATACGAAAGAGTGAGTCAACTTGGGGCAACATCCTTCTCTAAAATTTACACTGCGTTGCCCACAAAAGGGTGAAGCAGCTTGGAATGGCAACATCCTTCTGTAAACTTTACCCGCGCGTGGCTCACCAAAGGGTGAGCCAAGTCAACTTGGGGCAACATCCTTCTCTAAAATTTACCCCTGCATTGCCCACAAAAGGGTGAGGCAGCTTGGAATGGCAACATCCTTCTGTAGGGGGAGCCAACTTGGAAGGGCCAATTCCTTCTCTAAATTTTACCCCTGCGTTGCCCACATAAAAGGGTGAGTCAAATTGGAATGGCCACTTCCCTCTCTAAATTTTACCCTCGGGTTGCTCACCAAAGGGTGGGTCAACTTGGAAGGGCAACATCCTTCTCTAAATTTTACCCCTGCAGGGCCACAAAAGGTCGAGCCAAGTTGGAATGGCCAGTTCTTACCCTTGCATTGCCCACAAAAGGGTGAGTCAACTTGGGGCAACATCCTTCTCTAAAATTTACCCCTGCATTGCCCACAAAAGGGTGAGGCAGCTTGGAAGGGCAACATCCTTGTCTAATTTGTATCCCTGCATGGCCCACAAAAGGGTGAGCCAACTTGGCATGGCCACTTCCTGCTAAATTTTACCCCTCCATTGCCCACAAAAGGGTGGGTCAAGTTGGAATGACCACTTCCTTCTCTAAATTTTACCCTCAAGTGGCTGACCAAAGGGGGAATCAATTTAGAAGGGCAACCTCCTTCTCTAAATTTTGCCCTTGCATTGCCCACAAAAGGATGAGTCAACTTGGGGCAAAATCCTTCTCTAAAATTTACCCCTGCATTGCCCACAAAAGGGTGAGGCAGCTTGGAATAGCAACATCCTTCTGTAAACTTTACCCGCGGGTGGCTCACCAAAGGGTGAGCCAACTTGGAACGGCCAATTCCTTCTCTAAATTTTACCCCTGCATTGCCCACATAAAGGGGTGGGTCAACTTGGAACGGCCACTTCCCTCTCTAAATTTATCCTCGGGTTGCTCACCAAAGGGTGGGTCAACTTGGAAGGGCAACATCCTTCTCTAAGTTTTACCCCTGCATGGCCACAAAAGGGCGAGCCAAGTTGGAATGGCCACTTCCTTCTCTAAATTTTACCCCGGCATTGCCCACAAAAGGGTGAGGCAGCTTGGAAGGGCAACATCCTTGTCTAACTTGAACCCCTGCATGGCCCACCAAAGGGTGAGTCAACTTGGCATGGCCACTTCCTTCTAAATTTTACCCCTGCATTGCCCACAAAAGGGTGGGTCAAGTTGGAATGACCACTTCCTTTTCAAATTTTTACCCCTGCATTAGCCACAAAAGGGTGAGTCAAGTTGGAATGTCCACTTCTTTCTCTAATTTTACCCTCTAAATTGCACCCCTGCATCGCCCACAAAAGGGTGAGGCAGCTTGGAATGGCAACATCCTTCTGTTCGTTTTCTGAAACTTTACCCGCGGGTGGCTCACCAAAGGGTGAGCCAACTTGGAAGGGCGAATTCCTTCTCTAAAATTTACCCCTGCATTGCCCACATAAAGGGGTGAGTCAAATTGGAATGGCAAGATCTTCTTTAAACTCTACCCTGGGTAAAGGGGTGAGTCAAGTT